AAAATTTTAAAAGATAAACAGAAAATCATTTTTACCTCATCCAAATTAATTGGTCCCGCTACTAAATAGAGCTGCTCTATACCTATCACCCATGATGCAGTCCTTATCTGCCTCACTGGTACTTGTAATCTAACTTTACCAATAAATCCAGCCTTGACTTCCATCGGCAGTCCAATATGACGCAGAGCCTCTCGTTTCAGAGGTAAGTTTTCTAGCTCAACCGCCCCTAATACAAAATAAACATCCATTAAGAAGATAACTTATAACTATAGTAATACAGTTATAAAATTAACCTTCTTTTATATAAAAATATTAAAAAATTAAAGAGACAATAGAGAATGCACAAAATAAACTTATTCCCTATAAAAAATCAGCACACATGTTTTGATATATACAAATACTATCAGTATATAAGTACATACGTATATCTTAAAATTTATAGTTCATATCATATGTCAATACTATTGTCAATATATATATATATATATACACTGTCAATGTATGTCAAAACATAGCAATAGTGTGAGAAATAATACATTTTAGATCTGTTCTTTATTCTTGCACTAAATTGTACTAGAACGTTTCTTCTCATTTTCATTAAATATCAAATACATTAACTTCATTTTAAGTTCTAAAAGTGTAGATTAGTTTAATTATAAAAAAAACAACTCTATAATTAACAAATTATTCGAATATATATTATTCTGTATAACACTGAAACAAGCCTTATAAGGCTTTTACAGCGAAAATAAATAAATGCGTAGTGTGACATAACCTCACCCGACAACAAGGCAATGCTGAGCTGATCCGTATTCAAATTCTCCACATATTTGCCGAGATAATTGTTCAGCACCCAAGCAACGAGTCCCTCCAACATTTTGAACAAGCAATATCTTTACCACTATCCAGCCGGAAATGTGTACATGAATACGCACAAGTGGCCTCATAGGTTATGTTCTTTTATATCTCGTGCGAATTCCCGGAACCTGTGAAATAACAGTGCGTAAAGACAAGATATTCCAACGGTTCATGCCTGACTTTCGAGAGAGCGGTATCTCTCGTACCCTGACTATCGTTGTATCTCTCATTAAAAATTCTTATTTCACCATCGACTTTGAGATCCATCTTAAATAACGGTTTCTTCTATTGACATCTATTGATAACCACCATCAACAATTGTGAATTGTGACGTGACTACCACTGCACGCGTTCGAAAAGCACGATATTCGTAACATATAGCGTATATAAATCGATCTATAATTGGAGAACACGTTTTTCCACCTACCAATAAGATTGTGTTGCGCACCAATGATACTGTCGGTTGATTCGTCAAACTTATGCGAAAGAGATGTCCCAATAAACAAATATTTATTTTTTTCATTTTTATTGAATAAGTAACATATTTCTTTTAGTCACTGCTGTCAGTAGAAGAAAAGATACTCAAATATAAAATATATTCTTCTGTAATTATTATATAATCTACCGATGAAACTTCTATTCAATCTATTATTTATTTATATTATTAATTTTATATTCTTTATATTTTATTTATATCTTTAAAACATTTTTCTGTATGTTCTTTATATCATTAAATATTCTCTTTTAAATATGTACATCATATACATAATATAAAGAAAAATCTATTAATTTTTATGCCAGAGGGCATCTCTAATTTTCTTTACATCAGCTGATTTACTAAGAACGAAATACAACACCAGTATTTTTCAGTGAATTTTATTATTTTAACCTCTCTCTTTCTCTCTCTCTCTCTCTCTCTCTCTTTGGATCGTGACTTTTAATTTGGATCGAAAGATTTATTTCAAAAAGAAAAAAGAGAAAAACAGAAAATAAATATTTACTCTGACACTCGTTTCACTCTTATTTTTTTACTTATATTTATATTTTTTCTTGTGTATGTGTGTTTACCACCCTTAAATGTAATTCTCTTTAAATACATAATAAATAATAACAAATTTAATTTAATTTGTGTCAAATATAGTGAAATGTATTTTTATTCAAATGAAAGGATTAAAGTGAACATTTACCAGAAGGAAAGTGAGACGAAAGAAAACAAGAAGAAAAGAATAATTTTACTTTTTTTTTTAGTGATTTACGGTAATTAATTTTTCTATTTTCGAACACGTTGCAAATTGAGTCGATTCTCGTGATTCCACGCGTATCGACAACATTGTGATTCTGCGCGACGAGCAGAGAGTAGAGAGAGAGACACGAGCGGTAATCTGACAATGTGGCATCTGCGGCAAAAAGAGGACTTTTAACCTAACTTCGTGCTGACTCAGGAATAAGGAAGTGACATTATGTCTTAGAATACGAATAATTCGCGTAGTGTACCAAGAAGAAACGCGTGTGTATTATATGTAAATTATGTCTGTATGCGGTGTACGAAGATGAATCTACTGTCAATTGTTTGTGGGGTCCTCTGTTTCCTGGACGTGTTTAGATCCTCCTATGCGTGGGACAACGACGAGCTAGAGGTGTTTGACGTAGTCGAGGAGGTCAATCACAATTTCTACGACGTGCTGGGCGTTACACAGGTACTTCTCTGCAGATATGTTTGAATGTACATTCGCGATGTTGATGTAATTGCGCGAATGTACGCGTGGAGCAGCGTATAAGTCTGATTAAGATTGACGTAAATTATTTCTCTTCAGTCTGCAAATGCCTCGGAAATTAAGAAGGCTTTCAGGCGCCTGTCGTTGCAACTGCATCCGGACAAAAATCCAGCAGAAGATGCAGAGCTGCAGTTCAGGAAGGTACTTTAAAAACTAAAAGATACATGATAAGATAAAGTTCTTAAATTAACATCTTTTAATTTCTCTTTTAGTTAGTCGCTGTTTATGACATTTTGAAAGATCCTGGAAAGCGGCAAAAGTATGATAATGTGCTCGTTAACGGACTGCCCAACTGGCGATCGGCAGTGTATTATTATCGTCGTGTCAGAAAAATGGGATTATTGGAGATGAGTCTTATTTTGTTTACAGTTATCACGATAGGACAATATCTCGTAGCGTGGGCGTCGTATTTTGAAAAACGGTACACTTGCGTAAGTAACATATTCTTACAATAAAAAAAAATCATGCTTCTTTTTTTATAATATATAATTAATATAAAAATTAACACTTACTATGTTATGATTATAGGAACAAGTTTTAGGTAGTAAACTTCAAAAGCTGCAAAAAAAGAATAGAAAGAGCAAAATAGACGTTCCAGATTTAGCTGACATTTTAGAAAAGATTCCTATTCCAACTATGTGGAATACTCTTCCATTTCAGTTACCAAAGTGGATAATAGGTTCCGTGATAGCTATACCTTCTACTATCTGTCTCATCATTCAACTCTTGAAAGAGAGGAAAGAGAAGAAAAAACAAGAGGAAGAAGAGGCACTGTAAGTTTATAGCTACTTCTCGTTATAGCTTACATCCCTCATAAAAACCTAAACACTTATTCTAGAGCACAAGAGAACGAACAGCCTGAACCTGAAATAACGTCGCGTAGTATTAGGAAACGTAGGCCTGGTTTTACCCCGCAAGAAAGAAACGGTAATAATTCTAAGGAACCTGTAAAGAAAGATGATTGCGATTACACGAATCACATTTATGAGAAGCCAACGGTAGCTGGTAGCTTGTGGACTGATAATGATATATTAGAATTGATAAAGTGTGTGAAGAAATATCCTGGTGGAACTCCAGAACGGTGGGAGAAAATCGCAAGCGTTATGAATCGTACTGTTGCGGAAGTTACGCACATGGCTAAGAAGGTTACTGTTATAATCAATTATTGTTATAATCAATTTTATATTTTAATAAATCAGCTACGTTGAGTCGCATATACTTTACGTTAGGTAAAAGAGGAAGGTTTGAAGCCTGGTGAAACAGTGGAAGAAGTTTCTGCAGAAGAAAAACCGAAGAAGATTAAAACTCGCAGTGAAAATACTCCAGTCAGTACTGCTGAGTGGAGTCAAGAACAGCAAAGGGCATTAGAAGCTGCCCTGACGAAATATCCCAAAGGTACATCTGTAGATAGGTGGGAAAAAATTGCAAATTGTGTTGAGGGGAAGACAAAGGTATGACTATTTATACTTCTCCTTTTTGTAAATCCAATTTTCATTTATCATTATAATTTTAAAATTACATTGCTTTACAGGAAGAATGCCAAGTACGCTATAAACAATTGGTGGAATTAGTAAAAAAGAGACAACAATCTCAATAGTTCAATTTGTATAGAATTCTGTTTTTTCGAACACGTACTTTGTACCATCAAGTCAAGAAATAGTATTACTGAACAATAAGTACCATAAGTGTGAAAGTGAAAAAAAGTGATATTTCTTGATTATAAAAAAATATCAATGCGCGCGCGCACGCGTCTGAAAAATCATAATTTCCTACACATTTTTTTATACAAAGAACGTGCGTCAACTGTGTTACATGTAATATAAATATGCGTCCGTGAAAAAACTCAGTTATAAATCAGAAATGAATTTAGGAAAAAAAAATTAATTAAATAGGGAAGTTCTTCCTATGTCATCTTATATTAAATGTTATCGAGAATGTATTTATTTAATAAATTTAATAATTAATCAAGAGGGGAAAGACTGAAAGCATATAATCTTAAAACAATGCCCTCTTCTTTAAGAAGACTTGATTACTCTATGTATTATACCTTATCAAAGTAATCTAATGATAAACGTTGAAAAATATCGAAGATTTGATTGTAAATGAGTATAATCATATATTTACAATATTTACAAGTAATGTACATTGCAAAGGCCTGTAAATAACCTTCTTTTTATAACTGCATTCTTGTACATAATGATTACATTAAATTTCTCCAATTTCAATATGACATAATAAAATCAATTCAATATCTTCGTGATACTATAAACTGTCTTTCATTATTTCCTAATAACAAAAAGTATTTTTTTTACATGTATCGAGAATGTAATATATTACATGTGCAAAAAATGTTCTATGTCCCACAAAGTCTTATCACTATAGATACAAGCTGTTGCTGCATAAAAATAATAAGAACACTAAAAGTTAAGATTGCTTGTTCTATTCTTCGGCTTTTAGAAAAGTGAAACGTCAAGTCGAATTATTATACAGAGGAACAATATTTACACAGATCATAAGCATATACTTTAATTACGTCGCCTGCGAACTCGCGATATTCTCCACGCGTTTGGCTCCTCGTACTTATTGTAGAGTGGTTCCAGTCTTTGATTCTTCTTAAACTTGCTGAGTTTGGTCGGATCGCTGAATTTGAAGAATGCGGGTGCAAACTCCACCAGCCATTTCGGATCGATCGTCGTCACCTCTCTCATGTACTCCTTAGTAGTCTGTACCAATTCGTGATAGATCACCCATTCCGGCTGGCGATTGAACAAGGCGCTGCTTGGATGAATGTACACCACTTGGCTGTCGACTAGCGTCCTGTAGCCCTCCTGCGGATCTTTTTTCGCAGCGTTTCTGAAGAATCCCGAGCACACTGCTTTCTGTATCCGCACTGTGTTTTTGCCAGCTGACACCACGTCCAATTTGTGCCTGTCCATTATACCCAACAATTGCTTACGCACATCCTGAGCACGCTTCAATGTCCTTATTTGCACAAAGTTCTCGTAGCACCAGGCATTACTCAACTTATTATTCTTCCAGGAATTATAGACTGCCAGTAGAGTCAGGTGATCGCCTTCGGGTTGATTAAACTTGGCTTTTTTCTGATCGGCTAAAGCCTGCTTGTCCTTTGGTCGATAGAAAACATTTTGTACGGACAACATACTGACGATAGTTAGAATCTCGTCTGAGCATTGAAGATGCACACTCATGATTAACATCTTGGACAGATTCGGTTCCAATGGAAATTCTGCCATTCGCCGGCCCAGCCGTGTTAGTAGACCCTCGTTATCCAGAGCGCTCAAACTATGCAACGACTCCAATGCCATGATTAGTGATTCTACTGGCGGTGCATCCATGAAATCAAAGTGCAGAAGATCGTTGATGCCCATAGTCTTCAGTTGCAGTACAGTGGTAGCTAGATTTGTACGTTGTATCTCCGGGACTGGTGTAGGTAGCATCTCGTCTCTATAAGCTCGCTCGGTGTAAAGCCGATAACATTTTCCAGGTCCGGTTCTACCAGCTCTTCCGCTTCTCTGTTTTGCTGCCGCCTGACTAATCGGTGTCACTATAAGACTGTCCATGCCGGTCTTGGAATTGTAAACTTTTTGTTTGACAAAGCCTGGATCAACAACATAATATATTCCATCAATCGTTAGACTGGTCTCAGCGATATTCGTAGCGATGACGACCTTGCGTGAGCCGGGTGGCGCTGGCTCGAATATTCTGGTCTGCATCTCTGAGGGCAAGGCTGAATAAACCGGGAGAATAATTAGGTCCGGCACGTCTGGGCCTAATGACTTCATGCGCTCGTAAAGGATCTCACAGGCAGTGTCGATCTCCTCCTGACCAGTGAGAAAGAGCAGAATATCGCCTGGCGGCTCACGTAGATGAATCTGCATAACAGTGATCAGTGCAGCATCCAGATAATCAGTCTCTGGCTCCTTCGTGTACATTACCTCGACCTCGAATGTGCGTCCGGGTATGGTAAAAATTGGAGCCTCGAAGAAGTATTGTGAGAACTTGACCGCATCCAGAGTAGCGCTGGTGACGATCAATTTGAGATCAGGCCTGCGGCCTACCGCTTGTTTTAGAAGGCCGAACAGCACGTCCGTGTGTATCGTTCGCTCGTGCGCCTCATCCAGCATAATTACCGAATATGTTTTTAGATCAAGATCCATCAGGCACTCACGCAATAACATACCATCTGTCATGTACTTGATACTAGTTTCTGGTCCGGTGCAATCTTCGAAACGGATTGTGTAACCCACCTCCTGACCCAGGCAGCAACCAAACTCTTCCGCCACTCTCTTAGCCACACTCACAGTTGCAACCCGGCGCGGTTGAGTACAGCCAATCTTGCCGCGCGCAGTAAAACCGGTCTCCGCTAGATACTGCGTGATCTGCGTCGTCTTGCCCGAACCGGTCTCTCCAATTACAATTAGAATCTGATTATCTGTCACGGCTTTTATCAAATCATCGCGCAGCTTATAGATTGGCAGACTCTGACGTTGCTCCAGCAATGTCAGATTAGTCTTCTTACCAAACGATGACTTTTTACCGCCTATCACATGCTTCTTCCACTCGGGTAGATCTTGCGTTTGTAGGCCAATGCCACGCATGTTCGCTGCCAATGTACGACTCTCCGCTTCAGGTAAAGGATCTATCCAATTCTTATTCAAGCCAGTGGGCACAGAGTCCATCTCTTGTTCGCGCTGTAGCATTTTCTGTTCCCTTCGCTCCTTTGCCAGAGCACTCTGCATCATCGCTGCCTGTGCCAGCGAGCCATCTGGATTTTTCACTATCCGCACTGGACTGAGATCACCCAGTGCTCTACCGTGGCCATGCAAGAATGGCGGTTCTTCTTCGACAAGCTCAATCTCTACGTCCTCTTCTTCGTCATCCTCTCGTGGCAGAATTCCAGTCTCTGTGTCGAACTCTGGCAGCTCATTCCTGTCAATGCACGATGCAGCTAGCATCTGCTTGATCTCCCACTTCTCTGGCGACGATAAACGCTGCACACGCTTCCTCGAGTATGTCTCATCCTCGTCATAGTTACCTTGAAGCTCAAGCAAAGAGGTAGGTCTATCTGGATTACGCAAATGCTTTTCATCTTCGTCAGCCTTCGCAATTGGCACCACGGGGTTTAAATCCCTCCCGGTTTCCTGATCGACGTCCTTCATGCTCAGAGATACCTTCTGTCCACCGATGTTGAGAACTTTCACTAAAACTTTCTGTCCTCTCGAGACCACGTCGCTCGCGTTTGCCACTCGACCCTCTCGTCTCAATTGAGAGATGTGAACTAGGCCCTCCCAACGGCGCCGTAAACCTTCCAGCTGAACGAAACAACCGAAAGGCACGATATTCGCAACCTTACCCGCATAAATCTTACCTGCCTCCGGCTCCGCAGAGAGCGTTTCTTCGACGGAACGGGATCTGGATCTTTTTACGTCACGTCTCCTCGAGTGTCTTGCGTCTTTACGATCGCGAGACGACGATCTCTTGCGTTCTCGGGATCCGGAGCGTCTCCTGCGTGCTCTGTCGCGTGATCTGTAACGTGTCCGTGATCTGGAACGCGTTCTAGATCTGTGCCGCCTATCTTTTCGATTCGACGATCTGGATCTATGACGCCTTCTGTCCCTCGACCTGCTTCTACTCTTCCTTTCCCGCTTGTTTTTTTTCTCGCCATTGTCAATCTTACCGTTACTTTTCTCGGTATTCGTAGACTGTTTCTTGTTAGACGGTGCGAATGCCTCTAGAGAGGCCATAACGTCGTTGACGATATCTTCATCCTTGACGTCGTTGGTCTCGGAACGTGGATCGTCGTTCGGTAATGCCAACGCTGGGAATTTTACCGCCAATTCATCCTGCTTACTCGTAGACTTAGATGACTTCTCGGTGGACGCCTTCGTGGGTTTCATATGCTGTATTATTCTGAGGAGATTAGCTATGAAGGAGTCTGAGAACTCGGCTCCATTCTCGGTCAGTACCTTCTTGAATGCCGCGAACGTCTTGTTATTTTCAGCCAGATGTATAATGAATTCGGCCAAGTCCTTGTCGTTCAATCCTAAATGATTCTCCAATTCCGTACAGATCTTCGACACCAGAGATAGATGCTCCAACTTCGTGACCTCCTCCATTTTATTTGCACAAAATATTTTGACACAATTCTTAATTTCTTTATTTTAAACTTGGATCAGTGATGCGATTTCCAATTACTACATGCGAATATGCGATTGCATACAATTGCATGCGATCAGGAAATCACAACAGCGTCTAAACCTAACCTTTTCATCGTTCGCGCCATCTATACTATTGGAACCTTGACGTATTGCCACTTCGTTGGTAATGTGAAATTGTAACGAATCGGCGCGTAGGTGCTATATTTTACTGGTAAAGCAGTTCCTATGTTAGTGTAAGAGGGAAAAAGTGAGGTTATATTTGAACTGTTTATTTACTTCACTTCAAAGAGGAGGATTGTCAATTTACTATTTTTTCTGATTTACTCAAAGATTCGGAGATGTTGCTACGAGTATTTGATTGTTTACCTGTATAAAGAGTTGATTAATTTAAGTTTAAAATGCAGACTGTCAACGAGGAGAAAGATGAAGCCGCGGCACTTTGTTCGAATGACAGTGACAGAATCTATCGAATTGAAACTATTCGAACGGAATTGAGGGAGGCTGCCTTCGTGAAAAGGAAGGAGGACCGTGTGTCCGCCTGGAATAGAAGTCGCACTAATTTGAAGGAATGTCCTATGGTTGGATCGTTTACCATCAAGTACATAAACGAGAAAGTAGAGCTTCTCAAAAGGAAAAAAATATCCCTCACGGATTACAGATATTTGCCCAATGCTCTTATTCAGGTATTCTTACTGAAGTAATCTTTATCAAATATTATATAGAATATTTTAATCTTATAAAATATCCTACAAAAATATAATCAGCATCTAGTGGCTAACATTTAATATAGGATGTTCTAAGAATTTATAATTCAATTTATTATTATATTCTGTATAAAGGAAACGTTTTGACTTACTTCATCAGTACTCAAAATATATATTTAAAAAATTCATGAACCTTTTATTAGTTTTATAAAAATGTTAGAAAATATATCTTATAAAATTATATTTTATAAAATGTTTTTTATTCAAGATTGATATTCACGAAGATGCAAGTAACAAATAGTATAATCTTTTATTGTTCCTTTCAGTCGGAGGAAAACATAAATGCTTTTTTAAGTGTAGACCAAGGCTTATCGGGCCTTATACGCGATATATCTGGCAATGATCCAATTCTTCAATTATATGCAGCCAATTGCTGTTGTAATATTGCTCTAGGAAATACAAGAGCATGCACAGCATTGGGAAGAGCAGTTATTCCGTATCTGGTTGTCAAATTAGAAAGTCTAAATTATGCATTGCTGGTAAGTTTCTTCAGTATTAAGTAAGAGAAATAAAATTAAAAACAATAAAATGAAATAAACTTGAAGTACATGAATTCATATTTTATTAGGATGTTTGCATTTGGACAATCGGTAATTTAGTTGCAGGAAGTGATAATGCTTTCTGTATCTTACATGCGCAGCATTGCCTGAAATATATAATTTTACTTCTACACAATTGTGATGATTCAGTTCTTCCTTCTGTAATATATGCGCTCTTACATTACATACATGTAGGATTATACAGGATATCGTACGTATTACTCAATTTTATACATTGCAAAGATATAAAATTTATAAGAAAAAAAATTTAATATATTTTTCTGATATTTACAGAAAAAGTGAAATATCAGAGCTGATTGAAATTACTATAAAACGGAATCTTATATATAAAAATTCTAATTCTATTTGGTTATTAGCTTTATTGTCCTCTTCACCAATATGTGTTGGACATTTGTACAGCATTTTGCCACAAATCGTTGATTATCTTTACTTCAAATTTTCCAATTCAGATGGAATTGCACAAGCCAGTGAGGTTTGTTTTTTCTCTCTCTCATAAAAAAAAATATGAAATATTAAGAATTATATTTTTAGCTCTTTCCCGATTTAGATTACAGCATCTATACGTATTCTGGCTAATACATTGCATAATTCCTGTAAAGACAAGATAGATATTCTTTTGAGGAATCCGAAATATTCAAACGAAGAACTGTACATTTTATTGAATAAATTATTATCACATCCTTATATGCACATTAGAAGGGAAACTATGTGGTTAATAGGTAACTATACAATGTATCTTCAATATTTAAAAAAAAGACAAAGAATATGAATGAAAATAATTAAACAATTGAAAATAATCATATTCTAATTGTTGCAGGAAATTTGTATAATCATAAATTATCCAGTGTTAGTAACAATGTAAGAGATCTTATACCTTTTTTATCAGCATTGAATCAGGCTTTTTCCTCAATTGAAAATTCTATATGAACGTAAATGCACATTAAAATGACATCTTTTTTTCAAAGAAAGGTACATTATACTTGTAAAAATAACTTATAAAGTATGTGATACAAATATAAAAATATATTTATAGCCCTTTAATTATATATACAATTCTAAATATGAATTTTATTTATTGAACGGAGCATATATATACTGAATTTTCGAATAATACATTTCGTTTATATATGCTGCTGGTATCTTATAATTAGTATTCCTTTTTTACAGATACAAATTTTCTTAATGGATATCGATTTCTTCCTATATCTTCTATACACGGTACTTTAACGATATTGAAGTATATTTGCCCCATCAAATTTGCCGTTGGATGGTTAGCAGCTTTTAAACATTGATAAAGAGCTCGGTCGCAAGTACAGTGTGATCTGTAAAATGTTGAACACCTGAGACTGATTGTCTTATAGAAAGAACTTCGAAACAATTTACAGGTAGAGATAATTTTAAATTTTAACATGATAAAATTTAGTAATTAATAATAATGTAATTTATATTAATTTAAACACACTAAAATTTTTTATCAAAACAGATTAATTGATTTTTTTATCAATTTCTCATAAGATCTTACTTAGTGTATATTGAATAATTAGTGAGATTGTATCGGGTCTGTTGGGCTCGTACTTTTATTGGGCACAGATCGTGATTACGACAACATCTGAAAAATATAAAGATTTATCTTATTTCCCTGATATTGATAAAAATTGGTAAATTATGACTCTAAATTTCAACCTGTCGATATGAGGTAAATCGCCCAAATCATGATAATTTTCAGCTATGTCACCCGTGCCGCACCATTTTGTGCCTGAAATATGCACATATTTAGCCTTTATTAACAAATTTTACGGATATTGCGGGCGCGTTTGAAATTATAAATAATAAATTAACCTGGCAGAATGCCGGAGAGCAAAGTTATGGAACTCGCGGCTATGCGAGTCCCTCTACTCAATGCATTTGTAGGTAAAGTGGACGTGGCCTCCACCTGTAATTTGTCTAACAATTCGCATTGTTGCATGAGTCTCGTTATCTCCTGGAAGGACACCACTTGTGGATGTAAACTCATAGATAAGTTTCGCAAAACCTGTGTAGCCTCGGACGGCTCGCTGCAAGAGTCAGTGATGCGTGTCAAACATTACATGTGGAAAAAGGATTGGTATGAAAGGAATGATTTATATACAGGATGTCTTGAAATTCGCGAATCAAATTACTATAGTAAGAAGGTTTTTAAAAAATTAAATATATAAAAAAGTTGTCCATAAATTTGTATTTTAAGCAATAGTTTGTAAAATAATAAGATTATTTAAGTATGATCAATTACGAACTACATTTATGCTTAATTTCTTCACCCCTAGATAACTTTTATCCAGAAGATATCTCCCAGAATACAATGGAGATATCTCCTAGATAAAGTTATCCATAACTTATCTAGAAGTGAAGAAATTGGGCATTAACGGACTATATTTAAACGCTAAATTGCACGTTTACTATTGCACTTGCCGAACATTCATGGACAAATGAATTTTTACATAATCTATAATTGGCTATCTATTTTGAACTTCATATCTCAAAAATTATTATTTTAAATAAAAATGTACATATAATTTTTTTATTTAATTTTTATAAAAATTTCTTTAATTTATTTAATTTTTATAAAAATGTCTTGTTATATATTTTGATGTACAAATTGGAAGACACCCTGTATGTGTACATAACTAGTGAAAACCGGTTTCGATTTCTAGTCTAATTATATAGTGTTTTTTGTGTGTATATGACGATCACTTACTATACTTCGATTATATTACAATCATGTAGTTCATTTCTCGGTCCGAGATCGACCACTGCCACTGTTTGTTCGTGGTAATAAACGGCTCGTATCTCGTCTTTCATATGTGCAACGACGCTTGGTGTGAGGCCGCTTAACCCCTTGAATGTACTTCTAAAGAACGTTGGCTGCTGAGCGGTCAAACTGCATATCGATACGACGAGAAAAGCCGTTAAACACACCGAATACATTTTTTCCTTCAAACTATCGATTCTCCTTTCGTTTTGTTACACTATTAGTCAAGTACAACTATATATAGTCAAGTGTACGGATTCTGTGCAACATAGATACAATTAAAAAATTTTATTTGTAAACTATATCGAAAGTAACAAATACAAGATATATTTGCATCTAGAGAGTGATTGCACACCGCAAGTGATTTATACCATCATCAATTAACAATTGATGAGAGAAGTCAATTTATTGTGGATCTTCACATATCTTCATTCCATTTGTTATATTATTTGAAAATAATGTGGTGTGCCACACGTGTATAAATAAACATGCGCAATCAAACACGTTTGTAATTGCCGCACAATACGCGGTTTTATAATTTTTTAAATTCTTCATATCACACGTTTTAGAATTGCCTGTACGATGCACAAAGTTTTTTATTTGTAGTCCTCGTACAAATATGAACATTATCCAACCATTTGTAGAAACTTATAGATCTTTTGAAGAAGATTCTAAAATAAAAAGAAGTACACTCACACATAATGAATCAGTTCCTTCGAAACATTTATTTCAAATAAAACCGAACTTACCCCGTCGCGTTACTTGAAATATTATTTGGCACATGATATATGTACGGCTTTATGGAAGAAAAACGATAGAAATTTCACAGAGATACTTTTAACTTTATGCAAAAATTGTCTGTTAAAAAAATGAAATTAACACCCTTAACTTGACCGTTCGCCAGAACCGATCGACTGGTCGGATGTCCTGCGCGCGAACGGTGTATCCATAATCATAACGCACGCATCTATTTGACAAACTGAACTAGTAGCTGATAGAATGACTAAATGTGTTAACGCTAGTATGATATCCGCGTATAACTCCCTCCCACGATCTCTAGGTATCACCTGGTGGTAGCAGTGGTAAATACTAGTGGGGAGACCTACATTCGTAGGACTAGGGCGAAGAAAGTGGGACGAAACTGCGGAATACGGGTAGTAACTGCAGTTTACAAAATCCTACGAACTTGGAAAAAAAGCAAAATGGTGTTTTATCGGATTTCTCTAGGATCGTAAACAAAGAATTCATCAAGAGACATTTTACATTTATAAAAACAATATATTTTGCATATGAATCTAAAAAAAAATGACAAACAAAAGACACAATAGTGTCTGAAAAAGCGACAGCATCTTAAAAATGAAAATAAAAAAATGTATCTTGTTTACATATTATGTAAAATATATGCTATTTGCGAATTTTTTGCGGTCGAAATAGCGTCTCTATAAAAAAAGCGTTTTTGTTATATCCGATGACGATGCGAATAACGTGTTTTCACATTTTATGTAAATCTATAAATTTCGCTCGTGGCTCGTAGTAGATCGTTATGCAATATAAAGAGATATTATACGCGCTTCTATTGACATTTCGAAAAGAATGTTAATAAGACCGATACTTTTCTATAATTTTGCTCATTAAACAACGTAATTGTTTAACAGTGGCCTTGTCTCAGAGAGTGGCATGAGGGATTCGATTTGTTCGTAGCGCTCGCTGGATATTGAACTCCACTTGTGCTCAACGTAATGCTCACGGGAGTCGCATTAGACAGCTGCAATCTGACTGGGCACTGTCTATATCCTGTAATAAAAAATGAAAAAGCATTATAGTCGTGTCGTATATGAGTACAACGCATCGGTAATTTCAATAATACACGTGGACTTTGGTGATAGATTATAGGGTGGAAATAGAAATGATTTGTTATCATAAGTCAAGTACAAGGCAGTTTGCAAGACCAGGTAATTTATTATGCAAGTAGGTACAGGTTCCAATTCGATTCTTAGAGTGAATTCTAATCGAGTTCCACATGTTATGACACAAAACCTTCTTTTTTGTTTCCTACTTTTATGTGTTACGATAAGAAAGTTATTTTTATCTTAAATTACTCAATACTGTATTTATACTGATTAATGGACAGAAAGGAATATTTATGACATATTTGTTATCATGATGCGAGGTGATTTGCATAAAACGTAATTTCTTTTAAGTAGCAATTCAGTTTCCGGAATAAATCATGGTTGACTTTCACATTTTACATTTTTTTTTAATAACGAGAAATCGACTCTTCTGACTCATTAGTGTCTTTCGCTTTCCAGCTGTGTATTTATTTTGTATAATGTAATAATCATTTGATATTTATTGATAACAGTTAAGGAATAAAGCGATTATTCATGAATTGTTATAGAGATATATACAACTATATCAAGAAATATATTTAAATATATAGCAAAAGTATTCAATTAAAATTATCATTAAAAAATATTGCTTTGTTCGTTATCATTTACCATAAATATATACAATAGATATTAATGATTATTAGAGAGATTGATAAGAGATAAGCAATAGGAGAGACGATTCTCGATAAAGAAAAGAATTTACCAGCGTGGTGGGGACCGGAGCAATGGCAACATATAGGGTTATTCCTCGGCCTTGGACAAAATTCAACGCTGTGTGGTTCGCCGCAGCGGACGCAGCGCGGCAAATGCCGGCAATTAGCGGCCACGTGCCAGAAACCCTGACATCGGTAGCATTGTAACACGCTGTCCGCCGTTTGCGATATATTTTCTTGATACGCTTGTGGAATATTGTTTCCATCGTTCGCGTATCGTGAGAATACATCAGACGAGCACGTGGTCGTCCCGCCACCACGCCACCAGCGTTCTGGAACAGCATTGAAACGAGCCACTTCGAAAAAATCCAGACCCTGACGTAACAACGCTTCGTAATGACCTGCATCAAAAACCTGGTCGACAAAAGATAAATAAATATTTTTCAGTTTTTATTACTTTTATTAACTGTCAGTTATACTCGTATTTACGTGTTACATTTATTATATTTGTATATTTTTTTACATCATATCATTTATTCATATCATCGGTTATATACGATTTTGTTTCGATCTTTATCTTAATCCTGACGAAAATAAAAATTGGAGTAAGTTGAGCATAAGAAAGGAGTAACAGAGAAGCATAAACAAAGCTTCTAGGAGGAAAATTGAGACAACATAAAAGAGGCGTTTACGCTTCTGTCGCTCTTTCCTTATATTTGATTCTCGATTTTTATTTTTACTAGGAAACGTTCATCTTTTTACTGCAAATACCATCGACTACTAATAAGGCTTTTCGAAAGTTAACTTACAAAACCGGTTGTACATATATATATCGTAGATGTTCTATAGAACCTCATTATGAGAACTGGTTTAGAATTGCATAGTATAATATTATACATTTTTATATAAATTTAAATAATAATATGATGTGCGCGCATATCAACTGACATGTATGTACATTTTAATTTTAGCCTTGATGTTCAGCGAGGAACGTTTTCATTGTTTTAAATTACTATTTCTTTACCCATACAATAGAGATGATAAGATGTCTTGTCACAGGCTAATTTTAAAACAGAAAATGAGCATTTCATACTTCTACTCGAACGAATTGTCGAGAACGTTCGACATTTCCAGCGACAATTCCTTGCTTTGCCAGAGCCGAATTTATATCCTGCAGCGGTATAGCCCACGGCACGTCTCTCAGAAGCACGGCTTGACGATATCGGGAATCTCTTGCCGAAAATCGTGCTACCTTGGAAATAAAATATCAGTCAAAAGATATATATATTTAATTTTTAGATTTTATACTTAAAAGTATTTTAATAAATTATTAAGTTCAAAAATTAACCTTTTAACGTAACAATTGACGCAACAAATATAGCTTCAAAATAATAAAATATTTGAAATATCTCAATAAAAAAAAAACACAAAAAAGCAATAAAATACATTAGAAGCTTTTACGACTTTATCGCAACTTTTTATATCTCTAACACTTTTTACACAATAAGACATTACTTAAGCTTTAAAGAAATTGAACAGTTACAAATGGATATGAGAAGAATAATCGACTATGATTGATTAATTTCTTACGGCTTAAGATTTAAAGCTTAAATAATGGCTTGTTGTGTGAGAAGCCTACATATATAATATTGTGTAAGACGCATTGGATAGAATCTGTAAATAAACTTCGTACTTGCACGGGTCCTCCAAACACTCGAGTTAAGTCGCCGCGTTGCAAGAATTTCTCTGCATCGTTTTCTCGTACGAAAGCAGCTATAAGACCACATGGAGTTTCAGAGACACGCCACGTCGATAGCGGTTCGGAAGCGACAATAGCCTCTTCGAGATGAATTCGCAGTAGTTCACAATCTGCTTAAGGAATGAATGATAAAAATATCGATTTAAAACTAAAGCGAGTTTAATAGAAAATGTTAATATTGTTTATTTGAATGTTTTTGTCCTATTCGACTGGTATCGTAGGGTGAACGTTAAATTTCAATAATTAGATATTACATTGCCTCGTATTTAAATTGAATTAGTATGCAATTTATATAAATTAGATTGTAAAATGCAGTTTTCTTCGGAATACAACAAGTATTGCGTCATCACCTTGGTCTCTGTGACCCTGATCTTGAAAGCCGCCAGCTCGCGAAATGTATAAAGAGCATGTAAACTGTGCCTGCTGTTGCATAGCAGGAGCTTCATTACAGTGCGACGTCGGATTTAAATCTCTCTCATCTGTCTGATGATTATTGTCTCCGATCTTGCTTTGCAATGAAGAGTTTGCTACGGTCTTCTCCATTATGTGTGTCACGTACTCGTGACTGTAACTTGAATTTATACGTACAGGCAGAAATAATTTTCTGTTTTCTATGTATGTATATATTGTGCACAAAAATATAAACTATTACTATATTATGCGTAATGTTAAATATAGATCATATATAATATTATTATATGTAATATATATAATTACACACCGCTATGTGCGTAAATATTTTATGCAACTATATACAACCACGTCAATGCGGTTGCAATAATATGGAATAGTTCAGGTCATTATTGATTGCAGCAGTAACAATTACAAAAACTTCCATTACCGCATAAATAACTAGTTCTCGGGGTCATTATAATCGAGACAGTCATTAAAAGTATATCTTTATTTTTTTAAATCGACAACTATATTTGGCCTTTTGTTATCGATGCCTCGTGTCACAATATTTTTCTATTTTTTTGCTTTTCGTGCACAGTCGTTTCTTTGTAACATTGTAACGTAACTTTTTCGTTGTGGCTTTATTTATTTTAAATTGATAACGCCAAAAGAAGGACATGAGTTTGCTTATTATTCACGATAACCGCCTTGATGCGATTTTACGTTTGTAAAATATGTAATATATTATACAATAAGAGCGCGATCGCGATGAGAGTCACGTTCGCGATTGTTCGAGACTCGGTCATAGACTCATCGAGGTGGATGTAGCGAGCTGGATCCAAGAATGATGTAGATTTACCTTGGATGGTTTATCTGTCTCCTCGATAGCGCGGTAGAACGCAACTCGAGCATCGGGAGGATCAGGGAAGAGAACGCGGCCCATGCTGCCAGGCGCCATTCGTCGCGTCTCGCCTTAAATCGCATCACTTCACGACGATGATCGGCAATATTTAGCGCTAACGTCACGTTACGTTCTAATGCCCATTTCCACCAATGCAGATATTAATTTTAATCTTGGTTCAATTTGCTCTTCATCTTTTTCTAATTCTAAAAATTAGAAAAAGATTAACAGTAAGTTAAACCGAGATTAAAATTAATCTGCATTGGTGGAAACATATATTGCATAAATTAGGCAAAGAAAACATCGAAACTGCAGTAAAATGTTTTCCATTATACATATCAATATATTATATATAAATATAGTGAGAGATTCCATATAGCACAGACCTCCAAGAGACGTCCTAAAGCAGTCCTAATAAAGATATCTGGAAGACATTTGTATGTCCTCTGGGACGCCCTAATGCTCGGTTTCTACCAAAGTAGATTACCTTTAAATCTTTTGGTTCAACTTATTCTTCATCCTTTTTTAATTTTTAGAAATAGAAAAAAATGGAGAGTTAGTTAAACCAGGATTAAAATTAAACTACGTTGGTAGAAATGAGTATAAGCATCTCTTCGATAAAGTATAGACGTGTTTTTTAATTCATCAATTGATCGATCAAATTGCATGATGCGCAGATGTAACATGTTGCACTTTTGCGCATCATGCGATTGATCAATCGATTAATTAAAAAAACTTGTCCTATGCTATATGTATGGACCACCTTTATATGTGTAAACGGTTGCGAAATATGAAAAAGTAGACTAGCTATTTCATGACATTTCTAATATATATTACATATATTATCAAAAAGAGAGATTCTCGAAATATAAATAAAGCGGAAAAATAAATAAATAAAGCGTAAATATCAATAAAGCGTTGTATATACATCGCAATAACTATAATCGGACCTGTTCTTTAATTTTTGTATAGTTTCCTCTTTTTTCCAACTTGAAGAAAAAAGAAGGAAAGATGAACCATACAAGGGAAGTTCAATTAAAAAGAATAGGCTTATCATGTCTTGATTTTTTAATATAAAAGTCCAAAACATTTATTATAATAATTTTAGAACGAAGAAACCAGGATAATCAAAGTCGATAACATAAATTTTTAATTTTATCGATCGTAAATAACAACACGAATTTTTTCTCGACTGTAGATCACGTGAATCATTGCTAATGCCGTACTTCATACCGACTAAATGTAGCGCTACGATCGAGTATGCCTCTTCTTCGTGCTCTGTAACTTTTGCGCACATTAGTTGATTAGTAACACTACATTAGTCGGTATGACAGATTTCCTAACCTGAATAGTCGTCAACTTTCTAACGCTTAATATCTCCTTCGTAATTACCTTTATAGTTTTAACACGTCGTTCCTCAATACGGCATCAAAATGATGATGGACTATTTTGTAACGAACAATTCCTTAGCACCCGCACCCATGGGGATACAAAGTACCGCGGGTGCTGTGCCCGTGAAGAATGATAAAGGTTAGTTTATATTTTAAATGAAAAATTTATTTAACATTCAGCGAATTTTACAAATGTTTTAATATAAAAAAAAATGATGCATGTTCATTTCTACCAATGTAGATTAACTTTAATCTCAGTTCAACTTCTAAAATTTCTCAAAGTTCTGAAAATTAGAAAAAGATAAACAGTAAATTAAACCAAAATTGAAGTTAATGTACATTGGTGGAGAGGTGAGTATACACACAGTTAATCGTAATCTAATTATGCAAACTGATAATATACGAATCTTTTAATAAATGTACAACTGTATAACTGTAATAAGCATGAAAATAAATATTAAAATTTGAGTGGGCTGAGGTCTTCTTAATATTTACCATATGTGATACGCTTTACTTACTCTTCATCTTAGTTCAAAGAATTAGAGAAAGATGAAGAGCAAGTTGAACCGAGATTAAAGTTAATCTATATTAGTGGAAATAGGCATAACAATGATAACAAAGAAGATATTTAAAGAGAATTACTTGAAGATACGAGATAATATGTCTATAATAAATATTGAAAATATTTTATAAGAATTGTCTTTATTTTTATCTTATTTCAAGACTATTTAATTTGATTTATTTTTATTTCCATATGTAGCGTTTATGATGTCACTTAGATTTTCTGTGTGTATTAAACATTTCTAGAAAACTGTTTTGTGTTTGTAGGAGAGTTGTCTATGAAGAAGGTGAAGGTACATCGTTATGTTTCTGGTAAACGGCCAGATTATGCAGCAGTAAGTTCAGATGAAGAATCAGAGGATGAGGATTTTCTTGAGAAGCGTGCGCAAAAGGGTTACGACGATGACATTGTCACAGATATTTCTTCGCACTTGCACACGAGAGGTAGGGACGAGGATGATCCGCGTTTACGAAGATTAACGCGTCAACAAAGGGAGGTACCAACCGAAGTACGCGCAGAGAGACACAGACATATTCACGAGCCTGAACTTATCGAGATCGAGCTAGAGAGAACACGAGAGAGGATCAAGTTGGAGAGTTCTGATTCATCCGAGGATGAGGAACTATCAGATTCGGAGATAGAGAAACGACGAGAGGCCTTAAAGCAGCGAGTATTGTCTAGGAAAGAAACGGAGGAGGAATTAATACAAGGAGAGGAGGAAGATAGATCGGGTGAAAGCTCAGAAGAGAGCTCAGAATACGAAGAATACACGGATTCCGAGGAGGAGACTGGACCGCGATTAAAACCTGTGTTTGTTCGTAAAAAGGATAGAATCACGGTAATGGAAAAAGAGAAAGAGGCGATGCGGCAGAAACAAGCAGAAGTCGAGGCCAAGAAAGCAGCCGAGGAACGAAAGAGGCAAACTTTGAGGATGGTGGAAGAGACGGTGCGAAAAGAGACGCAGATTGGTAATAAAGGTAACACCGAGCAGGAAAGTAAGCTGAACGATGTTTGCACGGATGATGAGAACGACGAAGTAGAATACGAAGCTTGGAAACTGCGCGAGCTTAAAAGGATCAAACGAGATCGCGAAGAGAGAGAGCAGCTTGAGAAAGAACGTCTAGAGATCGAGCGTATTCGTAACATGACCGAGGAGGAACGAAGGCAGGAGGTGCGACTAAACCCTAAGATGATCACCAACAAAGCAGCCAAAGGAAAGTACAAATTTCTGCAGAAATATTATCATCGTGGCGCGTTCTACTTGGATAAGGATGATACTATATTTAAGCGAGACTTCTCTGGCGCGACTTTAGAGGATCATTTTGACAAGACGATTTTACCAAAAGTCATGCAGGTGAAGAACTTTGGACGCAGCGGAAGAACTAAATACACACACTTGGTGGATCAGGACACAACACAATTTGATTCACCTTGGATATCAGAAACAGCTCAAAATCTCAAGTTCCACAATAATCAAGCGGCGGGGATGAAGCAAATTTTTGATCGACCTTCCTTGAAAAAAAGGAAAGCTGAGAATTAAGCTTTGTAAATACTATGTATTACTCTTGTATTTTTATTTTACTTTTTCTTAATGTGGCAATTACATTAACATTTAATTGTAATCTTTATATATTTTATTTATAAATACATACAAACTTTTCAGTATACATACAAATATATAATTATAGGAAAGATATTCTCAAGAGTCTTATATTAATATACAAGGTTTATCAAAAATGTGGAAACCTCTTAATATTTCGGAAAGTAAGCATTCTTGAAAAAAATGTTTCAAACAAAAATGGTTTAAAAAAATTTATTTACTGATCACATCAATTTAACCTTGAGTGGCTTGCCAAGATCAAGTCAAAGTCACATCGATTTTTTAAATGGAACATCCTATTTTTTATTTTAAAATCTAATAGCTGGTGTTAAGAACTTTTCAAAACATTGTAAAAAAATTTTTTTCATTAAGTACTTTCCGAATTATGAGAGTTGAAAATTACAATACCCAGGATGTACCAATAAAGTAACTATTAAATTTTTTAATATTCTAAAACTGAAAATTTAATGTAAATGTGATATTTATTGCCGTAGAATACATTTAATAAAATAAATTAGAATACGTTTGCTGCCATGCGATTACCACACAGCAAATAAAAGTATTAAATAAATAAACCTAAAAAATTAAAATCATACAGAAAAAATAGTTTTAAAAAACTCAAAAACAAGTGCAACGATTGATCTTGCCTAAATTGGCTGAATCCACGATTGATCTTGCCTTAGTTAATTGGTTCACACACATTAAGAGATGTATACCAGTGATATACCTCCACGTGATACACCTTGGATAATGCTAATGCCGGCGGTACTGTACATTTCAATAATAATTCAAAAAGTCTTTAATAAAAATATATTTTATAGGGTTTTAGAGAGAGAGAGAGAGAAAAAGCCCTCGACACCAACTATTAGATTCTGGAATAAAAAATTTGATATCCTATTTTAAAAAATCGATGTAATCTTGATCTGACCTTGGCCATCCAAGATCAAACTGACGTGATCAGCAAAGATTTTTTTAAACCCTAGAATTTTTATTTGAAACATTTTTTCTCAAGAATGCTTACTTTTCAAAATATTAAGAAGTTTCCACACATTTAGACCCTGTATAAAAATTCATTTGTATCACATTATCAGCTCTTTCTATAGATATAATCAACATGCATACTCAAACATACAAGTATTAATGGTACATATTGGACGTATACGTACAATTTCCATCTAATAAATTTTTATTTCGGAAGTAACTAATATATTTAGTGTTTGTAAAAGATAAGAGTCTGGCTACAAAGAAGATGGAGTATATGAAATATATATGTGTATTTCAGATGTGTTTGGGATACACTTTAATTGTTATCGCCGTGCGGATATGTTAATCAAAAAGAATATACGCTACAGAGAGCCAGACTCTTCTAGGAACACACTAAAATATACTAGACTATAATTATACATCTCGTTTACGCACATTCTTACTTTCTTATATAATAATTTAAATGCATCATTTTTTCTCATATTTTAATATTCTTTTCATTGCTTATTTTGTTATTAGGCCCAATTTTTCAATTAAGTGATTAACTTGTGGTTAAGCTTAATCAAAAAATGAAAAACCAGACCTTTAGAAGTCTTATCCGAGAATAGAAAGAAATAAACCGCTTTTATATTAAATCAAAGATAAATACATAAACCAGAGAAATTAGAATAAATTGTTATAGAGAATTTAAAAATTCATCAGAAATCTAAAATATATTAGACATTATAATAAACATTTATTTCTAACATGTTAATCATCGGTTGATACGAAACGAAAATAATATTAAGTTAAAATTACAAGCAACACATTAATCATCATTTATGATTCATACTTATTTTTTTACATTCAAAAACGCACTTTTACATTTAAACATTTTTTTTTTTTTGAATAGTTTGGTCTATATGTTATGGCTGCGTTTGGTTTAGACGCCTCATGCGCTTTAAGTACTTATAATCATCATTGTTTCTCGTTCATTAGATGTAAAATAAGAACAAGTGCTGAAAACGTCCAAACGGAACATAGCCCTCAATTGCAATAATAATAAAAATCCATGCAAGAAGGAATAGACGCTGAAATTCGTGTGCTAATATGATTAAAATTAATCTACATATAGTTAAAATATGAGGTTTTAATTGCGACGAGTCCGATTAAAATCTTAATCCTGAGATCTTAAGATCTCTTACACGAGGAAGATCATTTTTAACTAATTTTCCCAATTTCAGACTCATATATACACACATACGCATAAAGATAGTTAGTCAAAAAGCTTTTACAATACTTTCACAACTATACATATTTAAAATAGAATAAAAAATAAAGCTGAATATTAGATTAGAGTTATATATTTATTATGCAAAGATATTTTATTAATATTATATAAAAATAAACCTATTATAAATATATATAAATCAGTACATATAGTTAGCGAGTACTTTCGCGCACACTAATTTTTACTCGCTGACTATGGGTATCTTCCAACAAATAACACAGATGACACGGTGTGACAGTGTATCAATACATCCTTGTTATTCGCCAATATTAAATAAGGATGAGATGATCACTATGTTGTACTATGTCGCTTGTTGGAGGCACACTATACAAGTTATTGTCATTCAGGTACCTCCCAAATCATATTCGTATTACAACAATTAAATCATTTAGATTGAATCCTGTATCGTATGTTAGGCATTATATTAAATTAATTAGGTGTTCAAGTATATAGTTTATCTTTAAAGGTATTAAAAGATCAAGATGGAATTACAAATGTCTCAAGGAAGACCATTTCGAAGACAGAGAGAGAGAGAGAGAGAGAGAGAGAGAGAGAGAGAGAGAGAGAGAAAAAGAGAGCAAATAAATGAATAAAAAATCAATACAAATTGACTCAATATTAAATAAATATAAATTTACAAAATAATTATTTTAGGGATATTTATTTATTTATTTAAAAAAAATTTAAATTCCGTATTATTATATTTTGAAATATTTACAAAAAACAGTGAAGACTCTAAAGAAAATCTTTTTTAAGTACTTACAATCATCATTGTTCATCGTTCATTAGATGTAAAATAAGAACAGAAGTGCTGAAAACGTCCAAACTTAAAAAAAAGAAAAAATATACTAGTGTGTATTAATGCCTATATGAGTCAACACAGAATGCTCGTGTGTGTAATAATAAAATTTTTATTGATAAATTTTTGTAAACGTTTTGACCCTGATTTCAAGTCCTCAGTACATGAATATACTCTCAGTTTTTGAACATGGCCGGAGAGACACTACCGTGTCTTCTGATAGAAATACATGACCTACGATTAATACAAAATTAGAAATTGAGAAATGTGTCCAAAGCTTGAGAAACGGTGTACAAATTGTCCGATTTGCAATAGAAAAAATGTAAATAACTTTATTTATTTGAAGAAATATTATGTTAAAAGAGAAACATGTGCCATTTACATGCTGCGATAAGCCGAACAAACCATGAATTTCAATAAACGATCTTATTATTAGATTGTAAAATTTCGATACAATATAATTAAAATTCTTCTAGATAATGGCTATCCATTAAGTTTAATTTTCTCAACAATCAATAAGAGATTACATAAAAAATTTTAACAAATTAATACACAAAATTATATTTAACTGATACCAGATGAAAATAACAACGATTTTTTACGTTACCTTTTATCCAGTTGGTATCGGAAAAAATTAGAAACTTTGTTAAAAATGTCTCTGGAGTTCGTATGATATATAGAGATACAAACAAATTAAACAAATTTTTTAAGGTTCTGAAGGATCCTTTTTCAAGGTTGTCTCACTTCAACATAGTCTACAGAATAAAGTTACTGATTTTAGTAACTCTATACCATTATTGTTACTTGAAAAGTAACGCTTCATTACTTTTCCGTTATTTTCTATATAGCTTTACAATTTTTGAAAGAATCATTTTTTTAAACATTTTCTGAAATAAAAACTCAGTAAAAAATGAATATTTTATCCTTAAGAAAGAAACTGAGAATCTCCATAGAAAAATTAGATAAAAACTATTTTTTTTAGAAAATTTTCGAAAAAAGTTCCTTTTTAAGGGTAAAAAAATTCACTAAAAAAAGAAAATAATTTGTATTTTCTTCCTGCAAAAGCGATTTTTTAAAAACTTTTTTCAACTTTACTCATCAACCATATATAAAGATAAAAAAAAAATTAAATTATCCATGCAATATGACGAATTCACAGCGGCGAATGCCGTAGTTGTCTGTCAGTCCGTGTAGTCATGCGCGAATCGCTGTATCGTTAAGGTGACTCTACACGGTCAATGATACTGATGAGTGATAAATAATATTCAATCAGTAATGTTGACAATATGCATCAAAATTTTCAATATTTTTACTTATATTTTACTTATTGACAATATATTTTACTAATTTTTACGTACATTATCTATTGTATTGTGGCATACTGTGACATGGATCTTGGTAAAGTGATGCTGATCCTACTCGAAAATTAAAATTCAAATCATTGCCAGTATTTCATGTTAATCCATTAATCGCACACTATTAGTACTGTCCGGATTTGTTAATATTGACCGTGCAGGGTCACCTTTAAATTTATTGCATAGCATTCATGTAGCATAGATCAACATGTTCCGACACGTTCGAATTATAACATATTAGGGCATATGACGCGAATAAGCCTATTACAGCCAAACTTAAAGACCAATATTCATAAAAGTATATTCTTCATTATATATTTAGTTTAGTCCTATGATTAGTTTAGGTCCTACGTACGTACTTGCTGTTACAAATGCTTTGAAGTATTTTTTAATTAGTCAATTAGTAAAATTCTTTTTTCCAATTGGTCAATTTAAAGTTTCAAAGCATTGTAATACCAAGTGAATTACAACCTATATTATTAATAAAATAATAATATAATATATAATATTAGATATTATATATTATTATATTATTATCGAAAGAATGTAACGACATTATCATATTATAACAAATTAATAGAAAAAGAAATAATTTATCATTATAGTCACCAACAGAAAAAAGTAAAGCCTATTCGAAAAATAACTCGAAATGGTAATGGCGTAACTAATTAATTCCTGATAGAGGCTACGGTCTATTTAATGCTATGAATGCTTTGAAGCTTTTTAAAAAATTGGTCAATTAATATAATTCTTTCTTTCAATTAGTCAATCAAAAGCTTCGAAGCATTTGTAGCGTCAAGCTTTGGACCGCAGCCTGTATTATACATATAAGAAGAATGTGAAATATGAAGAAATAATAAGTTTTGATATTCATGAATGTATAAACAATAACATTTATTTATATATTGGAAGTACAAATTATTGGGAGTACAAATTATTATAGTTCGGTCCGTTTTTTTGTGTTTAACAATGCATTTATTTCAGAACAAAATAAATGAACAGATTAATTAAATAAGAAAGGAAGCACGAAGCAAAGCCATTAACGGTCAAAGCTCGATTACAATGCTTATTATAATGTGTGAATTTATATACCGCGTGATATTCTTCGCAATCTTATTTTTCACAAGATAGATTTATCATTGCTTTAATATTCGTTAAAATTTTAATATATATCTTTCAACATATTATTAAGATCCAATAAGATGCTATAAGCATCTAAAATTGTTAGATTACTTAATTAAAGTGATATTACTGCGGTAGTCGTTTAGAGTTGCGTTGTAAGTCTGAAAAAATTTCGGCACGCGATTGAGTGAACTACATACGCGGTATATAAATTCACACATAACAAGCATTGTAATCTAGCTTTGACCATTAATGGCTTTGCTTCATGCTTCCTTCCTTCTTATTATTGTTTATCAATCGTAAAAAGATTCTTAAATTAGATTAATTAAAGTCCAATTGTCCATCGCTGGCTACTACTCTTTCCCATCTCTCAGGTAATTTTCGAATTCCATCTCGAAAAAATGACTCGTCTTTAGAGGCGATCCAATTTTGGAGCCAATTTTCGATTTCTACGAAAGAAGTGAACCGGTGACTTGCCAAATCGTAATCAGAAGGAGCAATGTCCGGAGAATACGGCGGGTGCGATAAAATATCCTATTTGAGCGTTTCTATTATAGCAGATGTCTAACCTCTCTGAAACCAAAATCAGCTGTCACTATGAACCATTAACAACAGCCGAAACCATCTTTTGGAAAACGGACTGAACTAATTTGTACTCCCAATATATATCATGTAAAACAATCTTAAAAGAACTTAATTTAATTTTTCGAGTTGCAGTCTTTTTAATGCTTGTTTTGCAGCTGCGCATTTAGCTTGTTTTTTGTTACTACCGAAACCATGGAACAGTTTCTCTTTTCCACCAATAGTGATTTTCAAAGGTATCATAACTGTGTCAGTTCCTTTAATCAATATTGCTTCTCTGCAATCACAAGTGCATTTTATATAGAAACATAAATGTATGTATGTATAATATATGTGTGCGTGGATGCATATAACATGTGTTATATGATCACAATACTTACAGAAACTTGGGATGTATGTCTGTATTTTCATATATTACTCGTACTGGCTGTTTAGGAATATTTCTGCTAAATTCATCTAAAAACAGACATTGAACCATCAATGTAGGAGCAGACAGTTATACATTCTTTTTTTAAATTTAGTGCTTTAATTAAATGCTCTAATTATGAATTCTTTATTTTATTATAGGAATACTTTATTTTAACATTTACGCACGCACACACACACACACATACACTTTGTTAGGAATTTTGTAGTGAATTTAAGCAACATGTAACGGAAGCTGGTGGTCATGATGTAACTGAAAAGTAATGAATGATTTAATTAAAAACTAAGTTACGTAGTCTTAAATGAACATGTGCAATAAATTTCATGCAAATCTATATAAAATTGTATGGAAGGTACATTAAATTTCATAAAAATTTATGAAAAATGCATTAAATTTCACGTACGCGTGTACACAAAAAATACTTTTTGGATATATTATATTAAATTTAATGTAATATTATAAGAAATTAAATAAACTTGTGTAACTTAAAAGTACATTAAATTTCAAGATATTTTTAACAATGTATAGTGTATATACACATACAGATATTTATAGTATACATATGTCGTGAGGTGAAGTATGGCTCCATGCAAAAACGATCGATTCATAACAAACAGATTCTCAGTTCGATCCTGACTGTTACCTCAGGTATGTATATTATCTCGTTTTTATACGAGGTTGATCACAAAGACAAGTTAAAAATACAAATCCTAAAGCTATTATATACTAGGTCTTCTACAATAACCCATAAGTCATAAATCACAAGTAACTAAAAATTAACGACTGTAATTGGTCCATTTCTAGCTTATGACTTATAATTTATGACCTATGGCTTATTGTAGAAGGCCCTATTATACTAAGCCTAAGAATCGATCTAAAATAGTGCTGGAATTTATTTGCCGCCGACGGGAATCAAGCTGAAAATTGAAATAAATTTCTGAAAAACTGAAAATTGCAAATAAATTTCAGCACTGACCTAAAGGAAAATACAGAAATCCTATCACTTTTATATGTATATATATACAATCTGTCTTACCGATTTCTTTGTGCATGAAAGAATAAATTATTTCCCATACTTTCACAAGATTCTTGCCACAATCAAAATAAATGGCACCAATTAGAGATTCAAATATATCTCCTAGAACTTTGGGAACATCGATGTATTCTGTTAAATTACATTCGTCCTCTTCGATCAATACGCATAGCAACTGTATTACAGACAAAAGAAAGAAAATATATATATCATTTTACATTTGTTACACTTATTAAAATTTGTATTACTTGCGTACCTCGTCATTAACCACATAATCTCGTCCTTCTTGGAATTTTACAAAGCGATCAATTATTTCGTGTAATTTTGGAGCATAGGACAATAAGGCGACATGCAAACCATATCGTATTGACAAACAAGCAAACGTTATATTATTAACAAGCGCTGATCTTAGATCGGTGAGTTTACCAGGACTTAAATTCTCATTATTTTCATAAATATAACACGTTATCAGAAAATCTGAAATTATCATGATGCAATTCATGATCAAATTGCGGTTTAAAAGAATTAAGAGAGATATACGAATATATCTTCTATATTTTCTATTATATTCGTATATGATAATTATTCTATATGTATTATATTTAATATTATATATACTATGTATGTAATACTATATTACACATATTACTATGTATATACATGTCAATATTTTTTGCTTACCAAGAATAGCATCTCCGATAAATTCTAATTTTTGGTAACATTCAGTTATTGTATTTGCTGTGTAGGATGGATGCGTAAACGCCTAAAATATAGTGTAATTTATTAATTGTAGGTATATATTATATTATATACTAAAAATACATGCACGTATGCACAAGGTGTTTCATAAATGCAATATTACAACAATCTCAATTCATTATTATTGGAGCCATTTAAAATCTATTGTTTATTCAACGTTAATCGACGACGATTTGCGAGGAAGGATACACAATGGATTTAAGACTCGAAAACTATTTACAATTATAGTATTTTTGCGTCACACTTGCTATTAATGCGGAATTCAACGCTAAGATAACGTGTGGATAAAATATGCGCATGAGGTGAATTTAAATATTTTCTTTAATCAGCCATAAAACCAGAAAATTAAAGTATGTAGGACATACCATATGTTTATATGACTTTTTACTTCTTTTAGTGTATACATATTTACCTCCTAAAGTATTAACATGCATTTACAAAACACCCTATATATTTCTGTTGTAATTCCTTTTAACAAATTACCTGTAACAGAAGTTCTCGATTTTTAAATTTATAGCCAATCCTGATTTCTAAAGTATCAGCCCATGGCATGTGATAGTTAAGCTCACTTGTGATAATTTTAGAATTCTGTGAATTGCTATCCAATAATTCGTTAATCTTAAAATCAGGTAGTATACCGAACCACTTGAGCAACTTTGCGGCACCTTTTATATGGTTACTCTAATGGGTAAAGATATTTCTCAGAGTGTCGTAATATATTTAACATAGCGCTACTTAGTTATGCTAATACAGTCTTGACGTCTACAATCAAGATGGTTATATTCGGACAAACTTACTTTGAGATAAACACCAATAAGCGCTTCCACCGAATCTGCTACGTTTTTATCGGATAAGACTTGTACACCGAGAAAATGTTCGACGCCAGTTTGCTTATCTCCAGTTTCCCAATTCATTACTGTATTTTGCATCATATTTAACGTATCTTCATTTAAATATCCAGTAAATCTCTCGATTGGTGGTATTGGACATTCGTATAATACATTTGGTGCCACCGATTGATCTAGTAATATCTTTTGCAATGGACGATACACCGTGAATGCGGGCGGGATAAAATTGCTCGTGGGCACAAATGCATCGTTCTTTATACGCCCCGGAATACCTTTTTTATGACCGCAATAATAGAGATTTCGATTGCCAATAATCTTTGACTTCAACGTCGTTAATTGACCTTCGTTAAATGATGGGAATCTGTGATATAAAAATAATGATACAATGAACTTTAGATAGCAATCGCCTAAAGTTTCCAACCGCTCTAGATTGAACATATCTAAGCCTAATGTAGTAGTCAGCGCCTAAAATTAAATAAAATTACGATTACATATATATATTACCTGCATAATTTCAATCGAATTAGGACCTTGTGAGAAAGAAGGTTGCTCATCAGACAGAATATTCAACGATGGTGCTGATATTACTGGCCTCTGTATGTAGTGACCAATTTTCTTATTCACATTTTTCTACATATAAACATGATAATTTTAAACACATGTGATATAATGTGATATATGGAAGACACATATAGCTATAATGTCCTGCTTTACCTTGATATTCTCATCTTCATTATAGGTATCTTCATGCATAAACTGGTTGTAATGATGAATATCGATCATTTGAATATCATCTATATTACGATATAAATCCCGAGGTTCCTGGTCTTTTATGAAGAGGTTACAATCTGTTTTTATAAAAATAAATCTCATAGAAACACGATTATTATAATAGAAAGTCACGATAATACTAGCTATATTTTAAAATTTATATAATAGTTCTAGTTCTGTTTGCATTACTTGCATTTTTTGCACTTAGCATCTTCATTCGCTCTCATCAGAAAGATATATTAAGAAAAATAACAAAATATATTAAGAAAAGATTTAGGAGAACGATGATAGCGATGAAAAGATGGAATATAGAAGAACGATTATTTAAATTTTAAAAATAACTTTGGAAAAAAAATGAGAATATTCGACGATTTAGTAGGCAACGTAGCATTTTACAGAGATTTACGTAAGGCTGGTAAGAGAAAGGAAGCTTGTATATAATCAAGAAGAAATATGTCAAATGGATACTGGGCTTACACGCACGTACTCCAAATTATATCTTAACAGAGAAGATTAAAATGGTGGATTTGAAGATTGAGGAGATCCGAAGGATTTGCATATTCGAAAAAAAAGCGAGATGCAAAATATGATAAAGTATAAAGTAAAGAGTGATAAGTTCCAAACTGTCCCGGAAAATTCGATAAAATTTTGATTTTGATAAAGTTTACAAAGTTTAAAGTTTATTAAAGCCAAAGTTGAAAGAGCGTTCAAAGATTATTAATATTTTAATATTTTTGTTTTGCCTGTTTGCCTTGTAGAATTTAACTATCTCGAATTCGGTAAGAATGTATTTGTAGGCTCATTGTACCAAAGTAAAGATTATTAAATATTTTAAAATTTTTAAAGAAAAGCTATATCAGTTATTATAGACATTATACATATAATAGAAGTGAACGGCATGGTTCACGAAACGTTGGCATTAATAATGAAGAAAGACACAGCGATAACCCGCAAACCTTCTGGTATAATTGAAGACATATTCATTTAAGATTAAATAGATTAAACATAGATCATATAGAATTATATAAAATTGTGTTAGGGATTTTATATTATATATCATATAATAATACTCATTATATTCATTCAATCATTATAATCATTATATTCATTATATTGTAAAAAAAACTGTAAACTGGAAATCATCGTAAATCATAAGGCAAGAGAATTAAATAAATAAATTAAATGATATAATGGATACGCACCCAAATCAAATACATTTAAATCTGAATATGATTGATCTGATAGCGTCTTTTCGATTGAATCATCCATAAAATCCAATCCATTACTATAATCTTCTTCATTTAATTTCTCGAAATTTTCTTCTATTTTAAAAAAAGACAATTCTTTCAATGGTGATGTTCCTAATCCAATCTTTTTTGCGATAATTACTCTCAAGTCTTCCGCGATTAAAATCTGACATATTCTATGAAGAATGGAAGGTAAAGTAGTTGCTTTTAACCAATACACAGACGGAAAATTTATCTTGTAACATAATTCTGGAACTAAATGTTCCTGAAGATCTTCCACTGTGTCATCAGTTTTTTTATATTTCAACGAACCTTCGGGTAGTTTTCTGCAAATTACGTAAATTAGCCAAATTATACAAATACCACAACACGATTTTTCTGATTATTTACCATACCTTGGTTTTATGTAATTAATTTTAATTGGTATTGGCTTTACTTCCAACATAGATTGTTGCAAATTTTCTATTTTTAGTCCGTGTTTTTCTTTATAATAATGCGTGTATGTATCGAAATCTTCATTGGGGAAACATGATTCGGGTGTGAGATCGTCACAGACTCGTGTGACTATATAGACCGCATTGTGCCTGTAACTTGGAGTAACAAGTGCTAATTCGTAATCACTAGTCCTAAAGTGAAAAGGTATAGTCGGTGTAATTCTTTCTAAATCCTGATATGTTTCAACAATGTTCCAATTTATCTCTTGCTTGTCGTTTACTGAAATATTAGAAAAGTAAAAAGAAAAAGATTTAATAACTTTTAATATTGATATACATATTAAACATGAAACTAGGAACACATAAAATGCAGTAGCGCTAGATTATAGTTGCCTGTCATTTATATACAAGTGAAATGAGTCTGAGGTGAGCTGAGTATGAATTATGAAATACTCAGATCAATGACGTCACTACTTGCTTCAGTAAAATTAACAAATACAACACAGATTCATAATCTCAATTTTAAATTTTAGTTTACAAGGCTCAGTAAAGCGATCTTGTGCAATTTGTAGGTGAAAATCTCGGTTGAATCTTACTTGTCAGAATGCAAAAGAAACGCGAATTTAACTGAGTTATGACGTCACAAGTAAGAATTATCTGAGAATCGAAAAATGGAAAGCAACTTATATCACAATGAGAAAACTATATAATCATACTTACATGGAACAATTACGAAGGAATTTTCAAGATTATCATTATCAAAAATCATAAAATTTTTAATAACAGGAATAATTTCACTAAACAATAAGAAATTAAATCTCTTAAGCAACTTAATTTTATTTTCACTCAACATCATCGTCGTATGGTCAGACTTTACATTGACGTTTAATTTACCATCCTTCATGAAAATCGGAAATGAGGATATCTGATAAATATGAAACAATTGTATTAACATGATTAACCATTTAAATTAATTTTGTGAAATATTAGTAAATACAACTTCTACCTTTGGCAAACTCTTTGTAGAAAGAATACCAAAGCCACTTTTGTCATTAAGCAAATTATAAAAGACTATGCGTCTGTTGTCATAACTCGTTACAGGACATATAGAAGTACAATCAAAAACATGAAGATGCAATAATTGTGAAGACTGTGGGTACGCACCATACAATGCTAGCGGATGCTGCAAAAGTATTTTTATAAATTAAGAGTTGTTTATATATATTTACAGAAATATATATTTATATAGAATCAGAATGTCTGGTAAAGATCTAAGAACAACGTTTAAAAGAAGATTTCTACGATCATTTTGAGACGAAAATTCTAATATTAAAATGTTGAGGCTATAATTCTTGAATTAAAAACGTTTAAAATTAACCAATCGTCTAAAGTTGGGCGCGCTCAGGAGCGGCACAACACAAAGTACTAAACGCGAAAACTTGACTTATTACTTCTTTTGTTAATATCAATTTTAGGATTACATATGTGAATATAAGATTTTATGTATATATTGATATTTATCTTTACACGATATACAAAATGCAAGCTGTCAGATAACAGTCTTTGAGCAATTTGCTATCGATTTCACATCTCAATTAGCAGAAATTAGTAGCTCTTTATGTAAAAAAAAAAAAAAAGAATCTTGTATTCACTTAATCTTGTATTTATATAATGTATACACAGTGCGTTCAAAAAGTTCCGAGACTACACTAAAAAAGATACTAAAGTACTGAAAAAAACTATTTTAATTATTTAATTTTCATACGTCCCTCCCCTCTCTACATACAAAGTAGATTGTTCATACAAGTTCTGGAACGCCCCCTGTTCCGGAGGAATAACTGTTGAGAATTGTCGTCACATTTTTTTTAATCGACTCCACATCCTCAAAACGCTCTCAAAACGCTTTCAAGGTCGCTTTGGAAAACAGCATGAAGTCTACCAGAGTCAGATCAGACAAGTACGGAAAGTGCTCGATAACCGTAACTTTTTTTGCCAAAAACTACTTAACAATGAGCGAAGAATGTGATGGCGCATTGTAGTGCAATAAAAATCACTCTCCAGACTCCCACATTTTCCTCCGTACTAACTAAATGCGATTGAACAAACGCTGTAATACCTCCTTGTAAAAAGTTCCAATGATTGTTTGACAGAAGGCACAAATTCACGATGAATAACCCTTCGAAAGAAAAAAAATGCACCCTTCACTCGGATCATCCTTAAGCGACTCACTTTTAAAACGGATAAATCACCTAAACACGATTTGCTACGACTCAAACACTCATCACCATATGCGGTTTGCATCAATTGAAATGTTTCTGAAGCAGTTTTCCCACATTTAAAACAAAATTTGATAACAGATCTTTGTTCCATTCTTCACAAAATGACAACAGGTCAGAACACGAAAACATCGGTTCGTTCTGATCACCGTGAACGCATAAGCTACGCAAATAATACATTCTATAGAGCAGACTTCAATCTAAAAATTTCCACGTTGATAGCACCATTTGTAAGTGTTTTGAAAATACAATCCTGGAACTTTTTGAACGCACTGTGTGTGTGTGTGTGTGTGTGTGTGTGTGTGTGTGTGTGTGTGTGTGTGTGTGTGTGTAAGACAAAGAAAATCTGATTTAATGTATATAATATGTATATTTACTTCTAGCTGATGTTGACGCTTTCTCTTATGTGTGCCAATCGTCTTATCATCTTCATTTATCCAATTTGGAAATAAGAAATCCAAATTTTTCGTTAATTCTTCATTCGTTGCAGGTAATAGCTTATCGTTCAATGCACTCAGTTCATGCAATTTTATACAAGTATTCATAGCAGCGGATCGTTTAGCACCAGGTATACTTTTCATATATTTACCGTAAATTGTGGTTTTTAATGGTGATAGGTTTGGTAATTTGAGGGAAACCTGTTCAAATTTATATATAATGAATAAATATTATTTATAAATTATGAGACTTAAATAATACATAACATGTAATACCCTATACAATTCTGTAGAACACTCATCTAACTTCCAAATCGGAACCAGATTAACAAATTTTGATGACAATAAAGAACCACAATATAAATTTATTAAGTCAATCACGGCCAACTCTGTTAGTTGACTTACTATAACGCCATCATGTTTTATTATATACGGTTCGATATCAAAATCATGATACAAACAGTTTATAATATCATCTTGGGTAGGCAATGTGCGTTCCATTGTTTGTCCCATTAAAATCTAACAATAAAAAGACATAAGATATTAATTATTCCTTGTTTAAATGAGTTTCGTGTGATTATCACATTTTAATGTAATTTATCGCTTTATTCAAGTCAAACTATTTATTAGATTATTACATAATGTATTTCTTTATTAAATATTATGTTATCATTGAAATAAACCCACCAAACTCTGACAGCATATTCTAATAATTAACTTGAAGAAAAGAATCTTTTGTTTTTCTCATTTTAAAATAATTGATGTACGTAATTAACATATACATGTATGCAACATACTATTAGTTAGCTGTTTAAATTAATTAAAATTTATTTAAGTATTTCCGCAGAATAAAAAAAATATATATATATAATAGAAAAGAATTTTAGTTATATGATCACATTTTCAACAATGTACAGCCCTACAATTATTTACTATTTTAATTGCTTACCTTTCTTAATTTATCCTCTGTAGTTTTGTATTGATAATATTTAATTAGAAAATCGTCATTATCTTCACCTTCCGTAAAAATTAAATAATTACTCAAATTGTGGCGTGCTCGACCTTTACTTTGAACATATGCTCTAAAATCTATTGGTATATCATAACGTATTATCAACGTGCAAGTTGGTATATCGATACCTTCATCGACAACATCAGTCGCTACAATGCAATTTGATGAACCATTCTTAAATCTGCAGCAATGTATTTTTTTATTAATTAATTACATTAAACTGATTAAAATATATTTTTCATCCTTTCTTTGCTTATTAATGTAGATACATAGAAATACTATTATATGTACATAAAATACATCGTATGAAAATTAGATATGCTAGGATCATTTACAATTTATACGAAATCTATCGACATCTCTGTAGGAAAATAATAAATGCAAAAAATGAAAGAAATGTTTTACCTTTGCAACACTTGCTTATTCCATTTTGCAATACATGTAACTTCTTTACTATTCTTGTAAGGATCATTTTGAAAGCCAACTACATAATCGGGTTTAAGAAAACTGTATTGTTCATCGTGTTCAGATAATATCTAAAAATAATGTAGATTTTAAATATTAAAAGTATTAAAATTAAATTAATACAGGAAAGGAAATGATAATGGAATAGATGAGAGTTATGGAATACATGATATCTAATGTAGTTTGCAATGCATTCTGAGAGAGCAGCAGTTAAAATTTTTTATACATTATTATGTAGTCTGCTTAGACGTTATAACATGATTACTAGTTGTTTTTTACTGCGTTCTTGTAAAAGCTGCATTTCAGTTTTGTAGATATTGAACATGACTTTTAAATGATATACAGATGCTTTCCAGCAAAAAAACACAATATAACACAGCAATAATTTCAGTTTTTCTTTTAACATCGGTGAACAACTAAGATGTAACGATTCAATGTGTTCTACTGTATTATCTGTATCTTTTGCTGGAAAACACCTATAATTCTAAATTTGGTAACAAAATATATACATATATCCGATTTTTTCCTCTTCAGTTTTTTTGTAAATTATGACTATTCTGTGTACTCGAAACTTATATCTAATAATATAATTATCACTTTATGGTCAACAAACTTATACTAAAAATAGTTATCATCATAGTAATTGAAAGTAGTTATTTCACGTGAATATCTACAGTTAATTTCAATAAAATAGTATTTTATAATTCATTCCTTTACTCTATTTTTTCGAGTTTGTTAAATAATTAAATTTATATTTGATAACGATTGATAATGATTATCAATATTAATTTATCATAAAACCGACAAAAATATTTTTTAAAAGCAATTATTATTATAATTTGTATTATATTATTGCTAATTATTTATTAATAATCAAATCAAAATTATAAAAAGGAAACTTACTTTTAATATATGATATATGACTTGGGTCATAAATCTTTCCCTGACAAAAATAATACAACAAAACTTTTGTTCGTTTAATTCCTTATTATAATGTTTCAACATCTCGAATAATTTTTGGATTTGATCACATGAAAAGCTGAAATTATAAAATATTACTCAATATATTACTGTAACATTAGTCAATATTATATGCGAAATAAATATTAATTTTTAATACTTTATACTAACTTATGTAATTGGTCTATTTCTGTACAGTCTTTCATCTCATTATCGAGCATTTTCCTTATTCGCAATACTTGCGTAATTAGATAATCCAGAAGAAAATTTGTCATCTAAAATAAGATCAATGAGTATGTTAGTAAAATTAAGAATAAAAACTGCAAAATACTTCCAAATAATATTATAATCATAATTTTAATAAACTCATACTCTGTCATTGGAATATTTTCTCATACTCTCTAACTGAATTAAATGTAGTAAAGCGGACTTGCTTCCACAATATAGACCTATAATAAGAAAGATATTTTATATACTGATTGTTGATTAAAAATTAAAGTTTAGCGCTCTCTCTCTCTCTCTCTCTCTCTGTGTGTGTGTGTGTGGGGGGGGAGGGGGGGGGTGCGTGTGCGCGCACGTATTTGAACATAAAAATTATAAATATATTAATTACAGAATTTATTGTAACATTATAGTATACACACAAGTATAAGTGAAACAATTACCTGCTTGCAACGTAACTTTTTCTATGTCTTCCAAAATAAGAATTAGCTTGGAAGATTTTGATCTAGGCTTCATTTTGTTACTGGATTCTTTATATATTTCATCAAAATTAAGCTTTAAATTTTTGCAAACTTCAGTACTTGTATTAATGACATCATTTAACTGTTTCATTATTTCTGGAACTAGACATTGCGTATATGTGATGATTTTTTCTTTCGGGTTTGTACAATATTCTTGGATTGAATCTATTGAGTCTACAGTTGCTATTTTCGCATGAAATGTTATTTCTAATGCCTACAAACAATATGAATAATATTAAAATGTTCAAAGATCATAATTACTAATGATAAGATAATAAAACTTCTTCCCATTAAACAAGAACAAATTAGATTAGATAAATCTGTATGAATCAAGTTTTTGAATTCGCGTTAATCATGAAAAAGGTATTGAATTTTATACAGATTGAATACACTGAATCTGTTTCTGTACGTCTAGATAAATATAATAATGTGAATTCTATATAATGGATTCATATATTAGATTCAGAAATGAAAATATACTAACCTAAAAGTGATGCATCGTTGAAAAGTATCGAGGTGATCACAAATATATGAATCGTTTTTTCCTCAAATAAACTTCAATTATACACAGAGTATACAACACTACGAATTCACGGTAACAAGATGATTCCTGGATATAATCTGCACAATCATGGCCAAGGTTATGTCTAGAAATTACTTTATCGCCATGGAACCGCAATGTTGCACACTCTGTATATCACACTGGAGTATGTTCGGCAAGGCAATGATGTATATCACCTCGTGCATGCTTTTCACTGATATATCACTTTTTAAGATCAGCAACTAAACTGATAACATGTTTCATTTCTATGTATTGGATGAGATACAAAAAGCAAATAACTAATCCGTAATTACTAATTGAAGCGGATTACGGATAAAGAATGGATTAAAAAATTTCGAAAACTTAATTCGACATCGTTTCAATAAATAATTTTCAATATTTTTTAATAATTTCTCACTTGCTGGGATTCTTTACCTTAATTGTAGATTCAATTTTATCTGCTTTTATGTTAGCATTCAACAATGTTGCTGACATAGCTAAAACACGTGGCTGCTCTTTCTTGGAGCAATTTGTAAATTGTTGCATAATTTGTCTCATAGGGTGGTTAGATACAGCTCTGTGACATTCATCAAATATGATTAAATTTATTCTATCTAATGTTAAATATCCATGAATAAGCAAGTTCAGGAAGATTTGTGACGTCATTACTAAAACCTAAATAATATAAAAATGTTGTAATCCATCAATAATTCAAAAAGAAAATTAGAATGAATAATATTTTAAATTCATACTTCATGTGCTTCTATTTCACTCAACCATTCTTCATGCGACCAAAAATCCACTTTCATATCTCCACTGTAACCTCTACATTTCAGATCTGTATGCCTCTGTATATATTGTGATTGTTGTTCAACCAATGCTACTGTGTTTACTATGAATGCACTACGTTTTCCACCTTCTTGATAAGATCTAAATGTAAATATAACTTTTAAAGCCATTGTATATATAATATCAACACAAGTATAACAATCTATTGTAATAATTGAAGATTCAGAAAAAAAAAAGAGAAATATATCTATGAAGAGCTACATACTTGCGTATATCACGACTTAGATGCTTTAGAAGCATAACAGCTATGTATGTTTTGCCTGAGCCAGTTGGCAAATAAACTATCGTGTTGTCTTGTATTGCCCTTTCATAAAGATCTATTTGATATGATCGTGGCTTAAACATGTTTTCCGAAAATATTTTCGACTTAATTGCTTTGTACCAATTATGATCAATCACTGATATCATAGAACAGCTAGAAAAAGATATGATCAAATTTAATATCTAAGCATTTGATATTTGAATGATTGCTTAACTTAACAGTTTATTTATATCTTTTAACACACACCATCAAATAACTGATTATCAAACTGTATTATAACGAGTACCATGTTCATTCATACCTATAATTAACAATACTCTTCTATGTATCGAATTTTTATCCTGCTACACTTTATAAAAGTTTCTTTTTTTCAAAAATAATATTAATATTTATGATTAAAAAAATTGAAATTTAAATATCTACTTAGTTTCAAATAAAAAAATATGTACATAAAATATTTAAAATTTGCTGTAACAATGAACTATAGTAAAAATGAATAAAGTAATCTATAAAATTAATGTAAAGGAAAACATATATCATCACAACATATACACACTACACACACAAGTTCGACTATTTCACTTTGAGGCTAAGCCATATATGTAATAACACTGAATATGACATTGAATATTGACATTTTTGCCATCACATTAATTTTAGAGTTATCACATTAATTTATTCCGTTTTTGCAAAAACTTGAAAATTTGATCGGTTCAGTCATTAGTCGGATCCGATAATCTCAAATATTCGCAATTCGGTGATATCATGAGATCCATATATCTATATGAGATCGGATTCCGCCATATACTTACACAGCCGGCAGCAGGTCTCGGCAGGTCTCAAGCGTCACATGACACATCAAATATGCTGATGTGTATGTAACTCGAGACGCCGACGTTCCTGAATCTCCTGATGTCAATTAATCCATTTATTGCGACAAATCTTTCATTTTATTTTATCATATTATCGTTGCAATAGATATAATTACAACATGAATTCTTAGTTAAAACATAAACATGTTTTAAATAAGTATATTAATTATTTAAAATATATAGAGCTTATATTTGCGCTTTTGGATTCGAATATATCATCGCGAGCACTATCAAATGACGACTATCAAAGTCGCTGACAGAATCGTAGTGCTAATCGGTTTGCTAATGGCGGTCGAAATTTCATGAGCTTCAAAATACTCTATTAATTACCTTTAGATCTTACCTTTATTAACGATTTGTTATGCGACACAAAATCATTTATAAGTAAATCAATAACTTCAAACTCCAGGAAGTAATTAAAAATAACAATATTACTTCTCACTAATCTATTCTAAATCAACTAATCTACTCCATTACCCAGTTTCATCATTCGATGCAATTTAATGTAGGATATACTTCTGAATATCTACTTCGTTAAAACGGGGGAAAACCGAACCCAAATAAATCCCTTCCTCAATGACTTCAGGCTGATATCAATTACATTAAGCATCATTTCGCAACTCTGATTGGTGTAATGCTAGGAAATTTCCTTGAAAAAAAATTCAAGGCCACTTTCATCAGCCAATCCATGCAAGCAACGTGTTTAATACCGGAATCAGACTACGCATTGAAAATTGAGATTGAAGATTAAAAATTGAAATTTGACCAATGAGAATAAAAAAAATTTTTGCTCTTATTATTTTGATTGGCCAAATTTTAATCGTTCAATCTTTAATCTCACTGTTCAATGCGTAGTCTGATTCCGGCCTAACAGCAAAAAAAAGTACTCCTGAGGGTGCACTCAGGGTGCGATTACATGGAGCGCGGTACGCGGTAGGTTCTCTAGCTGCCTAGTTATAGCGTTTTCCACTGGAAAAACTGGTGCAACACTGGTGCGCACTGAGTGCAATTGAATGCGAATCAATTCACATATTTTCAAGCTGGAGTCACATTGAGCGGAAATCTACAACGGAACGGAACAGTGAGACCAATCACAATCGCAGAAAGTAAAGCAGCGGAATAATTGTAGAGTTCTGATTGGTTTCACTGTTCCATTCCGCTGTAATTTCCGCTCCATGTGACTCCAGCCTTCTACATATGATGACAACACGCGACACATTCATGTCGACCAGTTGGCCACACTGAATTTTGCACTTGATGTGTGTGTAGTACATACATATGTGTGACGCTGTGGCTTTATGTGTGTTCCAGGCTGTTCGAGGCCACTCACTTCAAGAATTAGAACTATTTTTCTTAGTACCCTAACTTAAAATGGAGCATAATATGTCATTTTCATTTTTTCTAACAGTCACGCAACGTATATTTAGTAATTGGACAGCACTAAAAGTAGGTACTTTTTCAATCTTTATATATATAATATCGTATTAAATTTTCAAAATAGATATCTTTTGTGTCAAAAAGTTAACCTTTATAGGATGAGAAGTCATACAAGTGATACTGAAACATTATTTTATTTTGAGGCAGAAAATACAATAAATTATCTTAAATTTAAGGCCTTATGTACACAGTGGAAAAAATATTAGGGATAAGAATAAATCTTAAATATTAGAGAAGTAAAAAAAAATTTAGAATAGAGTAATAACAATGGATACAAATAAGGTACATGTATCTTATTATTTGTATTCATTGTACTTTATATTTAATCTCTATCCTGTTTTTTTATTTTTTTCAATATTTAAGAGTCTTATTCATAAAAAAGCAATAAGATTTTTGAAATAAATATTTTCTGCTTCCTTTAAAGGTTAATAAATATTTTTTTTAATCATAAATCCTAAAAAAATGATCTTTATATTTTTATTACATATAAAGATTAATAAAAAAAACAGATATCTATGTCTATTTCAAATATAGTAATATATATATATAATCAAATTTAAAAAATTATTTGTATAATCACATTATATATTAATTTTTATAGTTGGCAGTAGAACATGATATGGGTTCAGTAGAATGTGCAAGAGAATTTTGTTCATATATGACAGAAGTATTATCTATAAATGGTTATTTTTGCTATTTTTTAAAAATAAATAACAGTGTTGTACAACAATGTATACTGAATTAGTTTTATTATGTTATTTTAGAAGGACTAATCAGTAGTGAGATTGCATTTGTACTAGAAGATTACATAGATGATCAATTTAACACAGAAGTACAGGACGGCAGCATTATGCAAGTAGCAGAGGAATTGTTAAGGTTTCATCGATATTGTATGGAAGGCAATGAATCTACAGCAAAAACAGAATTTGAAAAATTACCACCACTACAGTCATGGTTGTATTCGGAACAACCATCTCAACCTATTAATTCTCAACCAATAAAATATCAACCTAGCAGTTCAAACGAGGATATGGATATAGATAAGAATGAGCAAGAGAGTGATGGATGGACAGTAGTTACAAACAGACGAAGCAAATAACTTCTAAGTCTTTTCATATGAAAGATATCTTTATTTAACTATTTTTGTGTGTATATAAAAGAATGGAAAGACCTGAAAAGAGAGGCAGACAGGCACATAACGTTATACCGTAATATGCGCGCATTCGTTCCACAATCATACGAATTTCAGCGCTATTATTAATTATCTACAAAAATATTTTCACCTAAGCAGCCTTTTGAAGCGTTGCTAAACATCATTTAGCAAGTGCATCTTCTGTATCTGGAAAGGAAAAATAAAAAATAAATCTGTTTTAATTTCTGTCAAAAATTGCGTTTCGTAATATTAAAATTTCAAAGGTACTACCTTTTCCATTTTGAGATAAATTTACAGTATAATAACCGTTGTGATATTGCATAGCTTGACTCTTTTTCGGGCTATCTTGCCTTCTTTCACCTGGTCCCGCTAAGCTTAGTATTACCGGTAAAAATAACATTCCATGAAACAAACCAAATATCACTACGGACGTGATCAACTAAAATGATACGAAATATGTGACATCTGTTTCTTTGATAATAATTATACTTCCAATATTATACTCGTACCTTGAAAAAAGTTATGAAAACGTAAGCCTGGCTGAAACCTACCAGGACAAAGGCAAGGAATGTACTTAAGCCACCATTAAACACTGCTGGTCCAATAACGTTAAACGTCGTTAATGCTCGTTCTGTAAGTACAATAAAAGAAATTAAACAGTATTCTGAGGCTATGCATTATTGAAAGATCATATAATATTTCATACATAAAGATCTTGATTATTATGAAGATATGTTATACAGTGGCGTTTTTTCATTATCCAACCAGAAGCAACCATGACTAAGGCTATCTTTGCCATCTGATCTCTGAAGACGAAAATAATCTTAGCCGCGGTTGCTTCTGATTGCATAATGAAAAAACGCCCCAAGATGTTCGGAAAATCGCCCTTAATACTTCAGAAAGTGATTCGGGATCTAAAAAGTAAAAAGCTATATAAATATAAGCCTTTTCCGATATTATAATCACTTTTACGTTAGAAATTGAAATTTATTTTTCATAATTATGATTAAAATTTATTTCATAGTCTACATTCATGCTGCAGGTTATTTTCAACATTTTATTTACTTTCTATTTAAAAATATTTATTTATGTTTATCGTTGCTTTTAAAATAATGTAGTAATCATATTGACAAATAACGAAAAATTAAAAATAAAAAGTACAAAAAATTTTTTAACCAAACATATAGTTATTTATGTTAAAACACTATGAAATGAATTATGATTGTAATTATGAAAAATAAATTTTAATTTTTTAACATAAAAGTGGTTATAACTCAAAAACGACTTATTTTCAGATATATGTTTATATAGCTTTTTTCTTTTTTTTTGAGTTCTGAATCATTTTCCGAAGTATCGCAACCGATTCTTCGGACACCCTGTATATATAATTTGCAATTTTGTTCAAACTGTATTATTTAACAATTTATAACAGTAATAATCCGTTCAAATTTTTAATCATAATCTATTATAACCAATTTAAATACATAAAATTTATTTATTAACTATTTTAGTTAACTGTAAATATTAGTTGCGTTTAGCAAAGAAAGCTTTGCAATTATTGTAAAATTCTTTAATTATTGATTGATTGTTATTCTTAGTTTGTGGCTGGATCTAAATGTATAAATTAATTACTATATTAAAGAATCTTACAATAATTGCAAAGTTATTTTTTCTGCAGAATTATTAATCAATTTTATCAAATAAAAAGTGTTATTTTATACACAGTAAATAAAAAAATAGAAAATGCAATTATGTAATACAATATTATATGCTAGCGACCTTGTTTATTGCCGCTTGAACGTATAAATTCCAATCCAATGTGTGCAGCATAATCAACTGCTAGTCCGGCGCACAGTAGGATCATAATGGTTGATGATATTTCGATAGTCAATCCCAGAAAGTACATCGAGCCTAGAAGATCGATGAGCGTGAATAGTACACAGCACATCACCCAAAATGATGTAAGTAGATTTCTAAGTAGGACCAATGTTACTGTTCCTACCGCCATTATCTCTAGACTCAGATTCCTAATCAATTCTTCACCGATGATCTGTAAAACCGATTAATCAATTACATAAATTAATTTATGGATTAATACATTTGAAAATATTCTAAAGAAAAAGCTCTCACTTTGTTCGATGCCCATGATATATAATCTAGTGAATAAATTGCAATATGATCGTATCCCTGAGTAAAATTCACCGATTTTATGGCGTCCCTGATAGATTGCATAGCCCGTATTTGACCGGACGACGTAGTTATGGGAATGTGTTGCACTGGAATCTGTGATGTCTAAAAGCATTTCTTGTGAGAAAACGTTTTGCATTTACAGATTTCAACATTTATTGTTTTCTTTAACGTACTGTGATATTGTAGTCGTTAAACGGCAGCTTATTGAATTTCATATTTTGAATGTACGCTTGGCCTTTCACCGTAAATAGAAGAAATTCCGTAAGTGTGTTATAATACTCGTCTCTATTCTCGATAAAAACTACTGGCAAATGAGATATATAATGTTATATTAGTAAACCCTAATTTACGAAATGTATATGCTACATGAAAAATATACCTTTGCCAGTACTGTCGAGCCATTCCTCATACGCCATGAACCACGGGTCCAAAGTACGATTATAGACATACGGATTTTGCTTAAGATTGTCCACCAACTGGAACAATGCACTGCGATCTTCATAATAGTCTACGCCCGTCAGGTATATATTGACATTCTTGCCGAACTTTGGAAAATATTCCGTCAATTTGTTATTAAATCGTATAGGATAAGATTCCTGATTTAAATAGACGAGCGGATCAAAGTTCTGGTTCAAATGAAATATCCCCCACACGTTAATGCCTAACAGGATAGCAGTGACTAACAAGATGATAATTTTCACCGATGTTCTCATCACATAAGGCCCGACGTATTTCTCGAAAATAAATCGCTGAAAGTTTTGCTTGGTGCATTCGTTTGGTTGCCAATTGGGTCGCGGCTGGCAACAGCAACCCTCTTTTTTCGCCGCTAATCGTCTTTCGTCATATACAAGACAGCTGACAAAAAACGTGATCTCGTAGATATAAAGGAATAGTATACCCATCGCGGCGAATATACAAAAAGACTTCAAAAACGGCATCACCGTTGTCATGCCGATGGCGAAGGCTACCATGTTGGTAAATGATGTCACGGTAATGGACATACCTGTAAAGATAAGTAAAATATTAGTTGAGACATTATATGTATAGATTATTTCTCCCCTCTCTCTCTCTCTCTCTCTCTCTCTCTCTCTCTCTCTCTCAAAAGCTTTTATTTCGACGATTCTATTAGTATAGTGTCTTCACACACGATCGTATATTTTTATTTTTAATCCGTATACTTCTCAATGTTTCCGAAATATATTTAAAATATATTTATATGAATGAGAAACATAACATAAAATAGTAGTTTCATTTTATTTGACAGTCAAAAACAACAAAACGAGATTTTATCATACCTGAGACTTGAATGGACTTTGCTATACGGGAGGGGATATCTAAGGACTTGTCCGTCTCTGACGTAGTTTCAAGACTTTGCATGATGATGAACATATCGTCGACGCCGATACCAAGTAGCAGAAATGGCAGGATCGGATGCACTGAACCGTAGAAAAATCCCATATAGTAGCATATCCCATAGGCCGACAAGATAGCCTGGCCAACCACGGAGATACCCATGAGGGATAAATATATTCGTTGCTGCATCGCGTTGCACCGACCAATCATTATAATTACGTAGAACGTGATCAGTGACATGCCGCAGAATAACACAGTCATATTACTGTTGACCACTTCGTGCAACACGTCTTGGTAACTACGTAGCGTCACTGCGTAGATCTCCATACCTGGCGGCAGGGTACGATTCGAATGTAGTACCCTCTCGATGAATTCGACCTCCCATTCCGGTGACTGCGGATTTGACTTCTTCAGCAACCAATACAGAATTGTCGCGTTCGCGCTCTTTACTCTCCCGTTTTCATCATATTCAACACCGCCCAGTAACGGCACAAGATCTGATAATATGTTCTTGGTATTCCTGCAAATAAGCACATAAAGAGGAAATAAAAAGATACGTACAAAAAAAAACATAAAGCCATTATATACTGATCATGCGTGTATTTCATCGAAATTAAAACAAAGGAATAAAGTAAGTATAATTAAATCAATGTAGACACATATTTATACCAAACTACTCGAAAAATAAACATGTTTCTTACATTTAAAAATAAAAAATATCTTCATATAAGATGCGTCAATTTATAATATGCTGTAATCTGTATTTTATAATATTTGAGAAAAAATTTAAGCAAATTTATTGATTTTACTGTTTAAAATTCCAGCAACTCACTTATTTTGCAGAGTCGCGGTAACATCATTCAATATTCTAGTTTTTGTCAATTTCTCTATATTTCTACCGTCCTTATGCCATATCTTTAGGAGCGATTTATGAATACAAGGCTCCTTCGCCATCGTACTGTTTATAACAGGTAGATATTCTTCGGGAAATTCAGTTTTATTCATGGTTTCCCATTTATCATCTTCTTGGAACCATGTAAAATATCTATAATACAAATATTTTATATGCTATATAAGAAAATTTATATAAAATAATTATATACTTTTATATAAAGAAATTATTTACCCAGCGCATACATCTTCCCAAGTATTATTATTTACCACTATATTCGTCACATCTCTCTCGATATCTCTGATCTACAATTACACAATCAAATATTATAATACAATTAAAAAATGATTCGTAACGCGTTCCTTAATTAAATGAATATTACGAAATATATAATCGCGAGTAATTAATTAAAAAGATCTTTTTAATTTAATTGTATATGCATATATATACATATATATATATTTAATTTAAAAGAAAATATCCACGCGGATATATCAATTTGATAATCAATAATCACTAATTAATTTTTATTTAAAAAATATCTTAAGATATAAGAAAAAATTTTATTGCGAAAGTTTTTCGAACGGTGATTGTGACGGTAATTAGTTTAACTATCGCGGAGAGAAGTGTGCATTAATGTAGAAAAGAACCTTCGCTGATACTCGTATAATTCAT